TAATTGTGATAAAGTATATTGTGAGGATTTAAAAGATATTAACATGTTACAAGGTTTTTGTTATATCATGCAGAAATTGATGTAAATGTATTATCTTTTCTTTTTGTGTGTGTGTAGTGTTTCTTCTTCTGTTCAACCATAAATGTTTACATTTCCAATTCCTTCACCAGAATTCAAAAATCTACAATTTATATGCTCATAGAAACTGAATAAATATAAAACTCGAACAACGCACGTGACAACGACTAGTTTAATGAGTTATTTCTCAAATTTTAGATCTACTAGTATTGTTTATATTTTTTGCCACAATTTGATAATCTTTAAAATAAAACTCTCAAACTAATTTTCAATCACATTCTCACAATAAAATATTTTATAAATAAATTTAAATTTTTTTTCTACTTTTTAATCATACATCTTCAAAAAATAAAAAATCAAAACTTCAAAATATTTTAGCGTAAAGGAAACAATCTATGACTTTTTCTACTATGCATACTTCAACTGATTTATCAATGGCAGATGGTAGTTCTGTCATTTTTGAAACTCAATTTTCATTTTTTTTTAACAAGTTCAAGCCATTTTCAACATTCTCTCATCTACAATCTCTCATGTTGCACTTGTAACAGTAGGATTTCATATCTAGGTGTTTGTAATAATTGGAGCGATTTTGTATAGTGTTTTAAGTCGTAGATTTATAAGTCTTGACCATATACAAGTTCTAATATTTAAGGAGTATCCTTAGTGGGTTTTCAGGCTCCATCAAGGAAGATTGATGGAGGTTAGGATTTCCCAACCTATGTATGTATCATAAAAAGTCTCCAAATATACCACTCTGAAGATCTAGAATTCCCTTATGTCAAGATCTACGGGCTAAGGGACAATCTCATGTAGATAGTTTCTATGGGGCATAGGCCTCCCAAAAGGTAACGGAGGCGTCCAAAGGTTTCCTCGGGCTGGAAGAAGATTGGCCCTCGCAAAAGCAGAATGGAGCGTAACTGCAAGACCCACCCGTCGAGCAGGGACGACAATCGACCTAAACTTAAACCTAACCTCTTGAAAGCTATAAAATAGAAAGTGTCTAAAATCAACGGGAAAGTAATAAGTGAGAAAGTACTACTTCACATACAATGAAAGTGAAAGCGAATGTAATTTATACTATAAACCTTTGAAACTAGACAGTCTGTATCTACTAATTTGCACAAGTGCTTGAATCTGACGTGAAAGGTCAAATGGTCCATATTCCTGATAGCGACGCAGGTCCCAACCCTCTGAAGCTAAAGAGCTTGCAACCTGGTTTTCCTCACAGTAAATGTGGAAAATAGTGTCTCCCTTGAAGGAGATGAGGTATCTAATCCATCTGAGTATGCCTTGAATCTTCCATGGCCTTCCTCCCCTGGCGATGCAGTGAATGGCCACGATTGAATCTACTCAATCCAAACGTCTGTGATACCAAATCCTCTGGCAAGAAGAATTCCATCATGTATAGCTTGGGGCTTGCCTTCCAAAATCAAGCAAGTACCATAAGATGCAAAGATTGTCCTGATGCAGCGTCCCTCCTGGTCCTAAGTAAAGCTCACACCATTAGCAAAATACCGATGAAGTACGCCATATATTGTGAGATTTCACTGATGAAGGATGCCATATAATTAAAACAGGTGGCGATGGGGAAGGGAGAGTTAAAGAAATACCGAATATGCATGCAAGAGCCAAGTCCCACGCTAATGTATAGGTGAAAATAATCCTCCCATTTGAAGAAAGGAGATCACATAGTAAACTTTTCAAATGATCCGTCTAGGCACCATGCGAATCTCTCTATGATTCGCATCATTTCTCTAACTTCATAAAAATTAGGATATCAATAAAGGGATGATAATGCGAATGTGGCTACAGTGTACATACTATCTAGAATAATGCCATCTCTAAAACCCCTGTCTAACTCCCTCACTTGACCGCATAGGTATCTCAAAAACATCCATGAAATGTTGTCAAAACCTGGTCAGAAAATGGAGCTGCCTTTAAAAATATGACTAATGATCTCGATTCGAAACAAATAAAAAAAAAAAGAAAAGGTCAAAGACTTGATTTTTAACGACTGCAATTGACTCCTCAATGAATGTTGACTTTGTGTTTTACTAATATCAATTACATGCTTTTCAATAGGTAAAACAATATGTTGCCCCTTAAATTTTGAGCAAATGCGAAGTGAGGAAAAAATATCAATTACATGCTTTTCAAGAATTGATCGCAAATACTTATTAAAAATAATAAAGATTTTGTTGGTAATAAATTGAAGTAATAAATGGTTGCTTGAGTTTTCAAGAAAATAAGGAAAAAGAATGATAGGAGTAAAAGAGTATCGATTTTTTTTAGTAAAAAAGAAAAAGGCGGAAATATAATACTTCTTAAAAAAATTTGGGAGCCTTAAGGATGCCATTTAAGTCACCCATATAATTCTGGAAAGTGCAGCCAGAAATATTCATAGAAAATGAGCACTACTGGCCGTCTCTCTCTTTTTCATTAGTTATAAACTTATAGAACATTCACTTTATGTGTCATGGTGAAAAAAAATGAGAGGGCTACTAATTCCTATAAATTTTCATGGTATGCATAACTATTTTCCACAATAACCAACATCAATGTTGACATATTATTTAAGGCCGAATATGTTTCGATTCTAAAGAGAACTGTATTGGACTCGAATTTTTGAGTATTTAGTAAGTGGAACCGTCGTGTTTAAATTTAATTATAGAACCATTCGTATTCAGTTTTATTTGGTTCGGTTTCATTTGGTTTTCGAGTTTCGTACTATAATTAAAAAATTTTAGCTCCTGTTTGGCTCCCATTATTTGAATTTATAATGGGGGAATAGTATTTTTTTGAAAATTGTGTGGTTGAAAAGTTTTCGATTTGAGTGTAATATCATTTTATTGAAAATTGTGTGATTGAAAGTATGAGAGAGAGAAAAATAAATTAAATTGAAGAATTTTAAAGAGGGGCAAACGGGCGCTTAATATTTACAAAACTACGATATTTCAACTAATGATATGTTCAATTTTAGTTATTACTAAATAATTTAATCCAATCTTATGTATCTTTTGATTCTTTCTTTATTGAGTTTTTCATAGATTTTATTGTTAAATTACAGGAAGAGAAAGATAGTGAACATACAATAATTAAGAGACGTAGTTGAGCTTCATTCGATTTTTTCAAAACAGTAGAAACAATATTATAGTAGAATAACAGATTTTGGGTAAAAACTTAAAACATTTTGATTAAGTTGGACTTGAATTAGAAATAGGAAAATCATATTTTTAATTTTGACCTAAATTAATTAGTTAGCAAATTAATCAGTTTTTATTTGGTTCTGTTCTATTCGATTTTCGAGTTTCGTATTATAATTAATTTTTTTAATATTTACAAAATTACAATATTTCAATTCAATCTTAGTTCTTACAAAATAAAGTAATTCAATCTTATGTATCTTTTGGTTATTTTTTTGTTAAGTTTTTCATAGATTTGATTGTTAAATCACAGAAAGAGAAAGATAGTGAGTTCACAATAATTAAAAGAAGTGTAGTCGAGCTTCATTTGATTTCTTCAAAACATTAGAAACGATATTATAGTAGAATAATAGATTTTGGGTAAAACTTAAAACATTTTGATTAAGTTGGGCTTGAATTAGAATTAGAAGTAGGAAAATCATATTTTAATTGTTTGAGCTAAATTAATTAGTTAGCAATTTTATTTAAAAAAAAAAAAACTTGTTTATTCAAAATTTAAAAAAAAAATCAGGATTCTTTAATTCTTGATCTAGAATCAAGAACCAAACCAAACCTATTAGTTCTCGATTTTGATACCTAATCGGGTATTTATTACTTATTTTAAGAAAAATCACTCGATTAGGTTCGGGTCGCTCGGGTCGAATCAGGTACAGTTCAATTCGATTTGAGAGTTTTGTTTAGTCCTACCATGGTTCATATCCACGTGAATTGACATATTTTGATGCATTGAATTTAACAATACATTTTTCAATCAATGGTAAGATTTTTGATACATGAGGTTTAAACCAACATTTATATAATGGAGGTACAAGTAGCTTAATTCTTTTCACAAAGTAGTAACGAAACGTATAACTTATACAATTTTTTTCATTTTTCATGTCGATGCGATCCTCTATTTGATTTAGACAAACAAACAAAATTTTGAGAAAATTTTAATAAGAGTGTGTGGTTGAAAAGTAATCCATGAAATATGTAGTTAAAATTAAGTGTGTTTGAACAACATTATTTTGAAAGAATGTATTTTGGAATAATAGATTGATGAAAAATATGTGATTAAAAAATGAGAAAAAGTTTTGAATTTGCGTGTAATATTATTTTATTAAAAAATGTGATTGAAATTATGTTAAATCACTATTGAAAAATGCACCCTTTTTTTTTTTTTTTTTGGAAAAAATACAGCTCAAACATGACCTAAATATTTATTTTAATTATCTTTTAATCAAATTTTAACTAAATGGGACTTATTTTAGAAATCTCGGCTCTAATCACGACAACTATTGGTATAGTCAATGTAGAATTTTCAAGATGCACTATCCAAAATTTAAAGGATTATTCCATATCTACTGAATGGGGGTACCGAATGATGTCCACTCTATTGTGAATAATGTGTAAAAACTTCAATAAAAAAATTCTGTACGTATAGCATTGTCCAAATTTAAATTGATTCAGTTTATTTCAGTTTTACATTACTCAAAATTTAAATTCAAAAGTTCACTGCTTGCTTATCGTGATAAGTTCTTTTCGAGTTTATAAAATTTACGAAAGATACATAAATTATTTTTATTTATTATTTAATGTAAAACTCAATAGATCATGAGAAATGTTCAAACTTTCGTTATGTAAATAAAATCATTATTTATATTTTGTTACTTAGGGAGTGTTTGGTGAAAATTTTAAGTCAATTAAAATCAATTTTTTTTTCGTTATTTCACTATTGCAGCCGTCGTTTTTTAATTTTTCTCTCGCACGTAAAATCTACTTTTATCTCTAATGATCAAAATATTAATTCTCAAAATCCTCACCAAACACTATCTTAAATCAAAAATGAAATAATAATTTTAAAAAAAAATCGAACTTCAAAACAAAATAATAAAATAATAAATAATTTTGAAAAACGAATTCTACGGTACAGCACGTCACGTGGCAACTTCTGTTCTAATATGACCGTTGCAAAAGTGCAATGAAGTCCAAAAATCACCTCTTATTTTCCCCATTCAAAGTTCAAACACGCCACTCTCTCTCTCTCTCTCTCTCTCTCTCTCTCTCTCTCCCTGTTAGATGGCGATCGCAGCGGAGACTCAACAAGAGCAAACGGTATGGAAAAACTTTATTTTTTTGGGAATTATTTGAAGAA